TTACAAGTATTAAGAATCTATTTGCAAACTCTGCATCTCTATTTTCCTCCTTAAACGCTAAATTAACTGATGCATGTGTTGGAAACATGACTCGAGGGTCCATTAGTCTGAAAGCTATACATCTGTTCTACTGCACTTCACAACAACGACCCAGTTTCCTTTAGAAACCTTATTGATCGTGGCTGGAAATTGGGTTCACTCTCGACACTTCCTTTTGTTTCCTGACGAATCTGACCGGTGTGATTTACACATCTCTCCTGGAAAAACTTTAATTCATTAGCGAGCTCTTTTCAATCCCATTACTATATTCTTTTTCCACTCGTGAAGCATTTCTCCCCGAGCCCGGATCTTGGCTGTACAAGTAAGGAAATCTCTGCATGCAGAGAGTGCTAAAACCTGAGTGTGGTGATGAAGGCCATTGGAAAAGGGATAAGTGATTCAGCAGGCGGATCAATAGAGAAATATCCATGCCTCCCAGTCGGCTCAATGAGACCCCCTGGGGGGTGAGAGAAACATTAGGAGACGGAAAGATGGACAGAGAGAGAGAGTGTGTGAGTGAGAGAGTATGCTTTCATTTAAGACCTGATTAGTCCGGCAGAGAGAGAGAGAGAGAAAAAGAGAAAATGTGGATCTTTTGTCTTGGTGCTTTGGCATTTCATCCTCGACTGCCATGCCAGTAAACCACAATGTGCTGAAATGAATTATAATAAATTGAACTGAGCTGAAAAGAATTGAGAAATAGGGACTAAGTGCATTGGGATTTTGGCTTTTTTCTTCCATGATTTGATCTTGAATTTCATTTTCAGAGCTTTGTGGAGGCCTTTAACAGAAATCAGATGCTTGACTCACTGGTTGAGTCACAGCAATGACACCATGCCCTTGACCAAACGCTGAACTCCGACGACGGCTCATTGAAGCCTGCTCTTAATGCCCAAATTACTCCATTCCCTGCACAAGATGATTCACTTTTCGCAGCAGTTCATCCTCCAACCATTTGATGTGTGATTGATTAAAACAGAAGCCTGCTCTGCGCCGGTTTGGAAGCCTCACATCGATGTTAACATCTCTTGCTGCTGGTGTGGATTTCAGCACTGACCTCTGCTGAGACGTGTAAGTCAACCCCTCTGTCCTTGTTTGACCGTCACACTAATGCCCCCCAAGACAGTTCAGTTTAGCCCTGACAAGCGAGCCCACCTCCCTTCCGCCCGCACTCACTCTGAGATGTTTTCCTTTCTTGAATAATGTATCAATTTCTACAGAAACGGCAATGTTTGCATTTCTCTCTCCCTCGCTCTCTTCCCCTCTCTCTGGATGGTTCTCCCTTTTCAGTCTGAAAATAGAGTGCAGAAGAAGGCTGTTGCTATGGTGATACATCCACTGGCGTTGCCCGGGACATTTTTAGCCACGCGATGCGCGGGGGGATTTAGCTCGCCTGTAACTTTCTGTAATTTCCATTCTAATTATATCACTCCTGCCTGCGCTGTGTGCCACCACATGGGGTAAAACAGCAGAGCGGGGCTGGCTGAGGATCCTCATCGCTGCTCTTCTCAGCTGCCCTCACACCACATTATGCCACGCTATCGTATAATATCACATTCAAAGACAGGGGAAAGACAGGGACGGGGTGAGGGAGTTTGTGCGTGCACGCTCACTCGCTGCAGCGCAGGGCTTATGTGAATGAGGAAACTGAGAGGGAGAGAAAACCGGCAGAGCAAAAAGAGTAATGCTGCTGCTCCTCTGTACATGACAGAAACTCCGGTTTAACAATGTGATATAAGACAGACTCGGTTACCACTCAGTGGACACATGAGAGACAAGCTGAGATTAGTTGGGAGCTGTGGTGATTCTGGCTGGACTTAGCAGTGAGGACCAGCAGGGGGTCTCAGCTATCACTACTCACCAGGCCGACCAACCGAGCTCAGAATATTACACCTTTTAATAGATAATGAGACACGCAGCAATGAGAGCAGAAAACATATGCAGCATTTTTCAGCTCTACTACACATTAGTTTTCTAAAACACCGTTTTTTTTTTCATTGCATCAAAAAATAACTTCAAACAAGGACAGATTATATTCTCACCTAGAGAGTAAGCACTCTTAAATATTAGTTTAACTGTGACATTTAAATGTACAAAAAGTTGTTTATGCTCAAGGGCAAGTTGACATTGCATTATAACCCTGCTAAATATCATAACATACAGTATTCAAATCACACAAAAATGTAAAAAAAGTGGAAAAAATACCTAAAAAAATGTAACACTATGAGACACATATCCAATGTTTCTGGGCAATTATCCTTTAACTTTGCTCAAAGCATCAAAAGATTGCATAAACCTAATCATATCGTAGAAAACACGAGTTATAACTGCACATGGGCTGCAGATTGTGGTCACTGTGAAGTGTATTATATAGAATTATAGCAAAATTCAATCAATCAAATGATAAAATACAGTCGAAATTCACCAGTTTTTGAAATTTCTGCAAATTTATGAGTGTGCCGGGTATGTAAAATAAAACAACCTAACAATCTCAGACTTTTATTTTGAAGTACAAGTGATAAACTGCCCTTATTTTCATGATTACTGAATTTCTCCTTAAAATGCTAGACTAATTTTGCCGTGGATAAACATGAACTGCTACCAGATTCATCAGCCAGCTTATTTTTGCAGGTGTGTGGGTCTGGAACTGCCATCATGCAAGTTTTTCCCATCAGGGCCAGATGGACTGACCCAATCTCAGTCTTTTATTTTAGACGACAGCACGGGAACGGCATGTTAGCATAATCTTAAACAACCAAGACCGCTGATCTTCTGCAAGATGAGTCGTTGAATTCATTAGGCGGTTGTTTTTTAAATAAACCAGCTGATGCATTTTCACTAAAACAAGACCAAACTGCACATGCAGTGAATGCTCCTCTGCATGCCTCTGTCTGTTTACATTTCTGATCACATTCTGCAGTGATTTGATTGGTTGTAGGTCCGTACAGTTACCTCTTTATAGGCACTTCGGCATGACCATATATTGATGTAGGACTGAGCTAGAAGAGTTTGAAATTTTATAGCAAGCCACTATTTAAAGAATCGAAAATTTGCTGCACCGCCATGACCATACCCTGTAACCAAACAGTGAGACACATCAAGACCAACATCTTCAAGGTTGTCATGCTTTGGAAATTTAGCTCATAGAGTTGCAGAATAGCTTTGCACAGTATCATATTTCACCTCTGCTTGTTAACAATGTGGCAAAAACATCAATTATTATTCAGTGGCGGTTCCTGTCCTGCAATCCAGGCAACAACATCAGAACTGGTGAATGCATCTCTGATAGTAGATCACTACAAACTAGGGCTGGGCGATATGGCCTCAAATTAATATCACGATATATTGAGCAGTTCACCTCGAAAACGATAAATGGACGATAACTACTCCACAAGCTGCTCACCTCCTCCCACATTAACTTTGTCTACTTCAGCAGCCGCTCCAACTTTTGAACCCTTCTCACCTGTCTTTCCCTCTTTGTTTTGGACTGGATGGGGTGGAGTCACGTCTCTGATGTACGACAGCGTCTTAAAGTGACATAAGACCATAGCCTACCTACACACATCCAAAACCAACTTTTATTTATTTATTTGTTTAAAACCGAATATATTGACACAGGCAAAATGATGTCAGTTATTGTCGTAAATTTCGGCATCTGTAAATTTTCGGTTTATCACTCAGCCCTACTCCAAGGTAACTTTAGCAATATTAGCATTAAAAGGGGTCATGGCGAAAGTTGTGACATTTGCCTCACTAAAAGTGTGTCAGTAGTGAAGCTCTGAGAAGAAATCAAGCTGCACAAGAACAGAAACGTCGACAAATATTCATGCAGAAATCCTGCTCACTGTTTTTAATTTAACCCCACACGTTTAAATAGTTCACAAAACTGTAATTATCGTTTTATATCCATCCAGGTGTCATCATCCCACAACTCCCACAACGACTGAGACTTTGTGAGCCAGCATGAGGAAGTATTTACCAAAGTGAGGGATTATTTTAAAAAGTGTTGCCTTTAAATAATTCATGCACATCAAAGGCCTTTCCTCATTGAACCTCATGAATAAACCAAAGGCTCGGTCAAGCTCGGTGTTCCACGGTGCAAGTTCACAACAGAAAATCCTGGAAAAATATTGAACGTTATGAAAGTGAAAGAGGAGAAGACAGAAGGAGGGGAAAGAGGGAAGGATGAGAAATAGGACACCTCAGATCTCAGAAGTTTTTTTTTTTTAAGGCTGTTTGGGTCCAGAGAAGTTTGATGAGGCGTGTTTACATGTTTGAATCTATCTGCATAATTATAGTTGTGGCATCAAAGCTGAAAAACACAGAGAAAGATGGCGATTAGGCTCATCATTGAGTCGTCTTTCTATACCGAACCGTAATGTAAGAGAATGAAGGGCCCTGAATGATGATGCCATTCCCTTGTTGACCACGACATCTTGTATTTCCTGGTGTCATTTTACGCTCCATTAGGGCTGCTGATCTTCATTAAAGTTGACTGCCCTTCAGCAGATGTGGCATCACAAACTAATTACAACTTTCAGAAGCCGACGCCCCAAACCCTCGCTGGCTGTCATGCCGCCTTGAAAGAGACAAAACAAAAAGTGGCTCGGGATATCAACTCAGATTATGTCGCATGAGCGGACTCATTGTTTCAAAGTTTAGAGGTATAAAAAAAAAAGAAAATTACAACAACCTGCACTCCTGCTGACAGTAAAATGAGCTTTATTCTGACATTCACAAAGAGCTTAAAGTGGGAAAGACTTAAGCAACAATCTTCATTTCAACATGTCCTTCAGGTAAAAGGTCCTATTTTAATTATTCATTGTTAATTGCATTGAAGCTATAGGGTTGCATAGAAGCTGTGCCACCGTAGTCGAACTAACTGATCCAATATTCCTGCATTACTTCAGTCTTATATGGACGCCACTTGATGTACATCTTCTTTCTTCTTTCGTGTAACGTCAGAAGTCCAACTCTGTGTCGTGTTGCCATGCCAACATCTCTGGTCCTAGGTCAAAGAGGCTTGCTTCTGAAGGTGGTCTGTATAAGGGGCAGGTGCTGATTTTATGGTGAGAAGTCTGCTCAGGGTCATCGCACTCACAGGCTGCACTGTCCACCATGCCCCACTTCCTCATTGGTGTTTTAAAGCGACCAAGCCCAGTTCTTAGGCGGCTCAGTGTTGCCCATGATTGCGGTAGGTTCCTTCCTGAATGTATCGATGGATGCGAGAGGGTCCAGCTGACTGCCAGAAAAGCATCTCTGGAGATGTCCTCAGAGGTGGAATTGAGCATCTCTTGCTCTGCCTTGTTGTCGGGGAGGCGGGATTTGAGTCTGCTCGGAGGCGCTGCTGTTGTTGTGGTGTTGTGCAGGATGTGCCAATCATGCCTTTGTGCTTTCCTGGCCAAGGCAAGGGTGGCAGCCTCCCGTCGGAGTCCAGCTGGGGCTATTCCTGCGAAGACTGGCAAAACACACGGATGTAGGCTTCAGACATCCAGTTATAATTCGGAGGGCGCTGTTGATAGCCACGTCAATCTACATGAGAAAAGCACTAGCATGGATTTGAATGTAGCATCACCTCAGGACTTCGTCTAGCCCCTCCCCCCTCCCTTTAGACCCCCCTACAAAACAACGTTCTCGCTCACATGCATGATCGCTGCTGTCTGCTGATCCAAAAACCAGACTGAAAACTTTGGGACTTTAGATTGGGAAGTCTTTGCACAGCAGGGACAAAGATAATGTTAGCATCGGGATAATGATAACTAGCAACATGGCCAAATACTTGATCAAGTTTAAAAATCGCCCTGAAATGACCCCTCGACATACCTTTCCAACAGAAAATGAGCAACCATGGCATCATTTTAAAAGCCCTTGACCTCTTTCAGGTCTCGCCATCACTGAAAAGCTGTCCCATTTGCTTTTTCCAAACTCCGTCTTGCTTCGGCCTTCTCTGCCTCCACCTGTCTTTGGTCCATTCTCCAGTGTAGCTGTATCCCTCTCAGCTCAGCTATGCACATTGAATCAGGGCCAGTACACGCCAGCGACATGTATGTGCTGGAGGCAGGCACAGGATTTGATTGGTTTAAAAATTTGGGACCCACATGATGTGATTGGTTGGTCTTTTACCTGTGTTTTTTCCTGCTGTAGATAGCGGCTTTGTTTCGCTCTTTTTAAAGAACTCATTATGTATTGATTGCCATTGGAACATACAGATCAATTTAACCAGAATAACAAAAAGTGCATCTAAATCAGATTACCAACCCTAACTTTAATGCTACATTTAAATGGAGACCTTTTATACTCATTTCAGCTTTTATTGCATCAGTGTGGAATATCTATGGAGCTCAGAAACTCGGGTGGGTGTTACTTTTCACACAGCTCCACAGTCACAAAACAACTTTCCAACTTTCTGAATCAACAAAGTGCAGAATGGAGGGAAAGACGAGCCTTGAGATGGACTTTTCAGCTTCCTTGTGTGCATGAACGTCTCTCCTGGGCTTTTCCTTTAGCATTGTCTTTATAGGGCAGCAAACACCCGATGCCAGGTTATAGCCACGTCTCAAAACAAGCTGTTCAGGGAACCTGTAAAACACGTCTCCAGATTACGCCGCCATCTGTGTATCCCATGTTGCGAAATCTTGCCATGGTCTTGTGTGGACATCCAACATCGTAACATTATATGAATGTATTAAAGCGTGGATCAGCATTAGGGGGTCTCCTTTCAGAGGTTGTCACCAAACCTAAAGGGAGAAAAATCTGCCCAAGGACAGCTTGGAAAATGGATATAAACTTGCGAAGTTTGGACCTCAAACAGAAAGGACAAAGCTGTAAAATTTTACTTTTCCTCCAGAGCAGATACAAAATCTGATTTACAGTAACCCCAGACTCCCATTTGAGGAAATATGCATGGTCAATTATGTTAAAGTCCCCCACCGGGGTCCCTCTCACAGAAAGCCAACTCAAAGTCCAAATGTCTTATCTATCAGGATGTCTCTAAACATCCTCCATGAGTAAAGCTAAAGGGAGAACCAAAGGATTGTCAAAGCCAGGAAGATGATATCTTCAAAAACTCGCACCAATCCACCTGATTAATGATAACACAGATCCCTGGAAGAGTTCAGATTTATCCTGCTCTGGATAACGTCGGCATAATCATTTGGTTCCATCTTCAGGATCATTTCAAGACATAAAAAAAAGTTTAATGGCGACTCATCCATCCAGTTGATGAGCTATTTCCATCTGAGCCAAAATGGTGGATCTTCCAACATCCCAATAGTCATGCTGTTATCATTTCTAACAAGGATGAGACCACAAAACAGATGAATCACTCGGAAATTGGCAGTGGGGCCATTCTTGTTGTTTCCAAACAGTCTTTTTTGGAAACTGCACACATGCTGCATCACTTCTCGTCCTAATGATACGCTTTAACCGCGGTCTACATGCCATCTCTTACCAAATAACTTTCCTCTGGGGTCAGCGTCTGTCTCCCTCGCTCTCAGTGTTGTTAGCCCTGTACATATTTGCCATTGTGTCTGACCCACTTTTTCCAGCCAGTACAAAAGATATTAAACATGTGTGAGCCTGTGCAAACAACTCCACTGCGCCTTTAAATGCTCTTTTATTGAATCCTAGCGTGAATGACCTTTTTTTTTCTCTACAGGCTTATTTTGCTTTTGGCAAGGAGTCGTCTTGAACCCGCCCAACACTGACACATTTTATTAATCAAATCAGTCAGCTTGCATCTGTTTAGTTACCAAAGAATGACAGCATTTGTATCTGGCATTACCTTTTTTTTACTATAGCTTCAGGGTATAGCAGATTATATGATTTTATTTGATTGTGGCTTTGGCAAACGGCCTTTTTGTCTTTCCCTGAGAGTTAACATTGGCAGTGCTGAACAGGACAAGCCAAGTATTATTCTTAATATTCCCAGCGCAGCACTGTACTGATGCCTTTAGGTTGTTTATCAGCTCAGTTTTCCCCCTAAATAGTCAACACATTATATAAAAAAAAGTGGAACTAAATAAAATTATCCAGCTTGCTCATCCTCTCTTGGCCTCTTGCAGTGTTAAATGGATATCGCATACACCAATATCCATTGTAAGAGTCTGCACACACTAGCAAATATAGAACACTGCAGTATTTGGATTTAGCACAAGAGTGAAATCAATAGGATTCTGGACCCCTACCCCCTCTCCCATTTTTTTCTGTGTGTGTCTATCCCTCACACACATTTTCCTCCGTCTCTCCCCGTCTTCCTCGATCCTCCCTCCTCACCCCCCTGATTGGAGGCGTAACATGCAGGCGGGCTCAGTTCCATGCAGGGGCCTCTCCACAGCAGATAATGGTCCATTCCTCTCATTTTGGCTTCCTTTTATTTGTTCACATCAACATCAAAGCCTGTCCATTTCCCCTCCGCTGGGGAGCCGGGCTTTAAGTCTTTGACTGATCCGCCTCGTTCGCTCGTAGAGCTGCCCTGGTGGTGTCCATCCCTCACCGCATGTGAGGCTAACACACACACACATGCAGAGGCTTTACACATACATACATGTTAAAACACTCGCACACACACACACAGGGGACGAGGGGCTTTCTGATATATAGAGCACATGCATGAAAGCTCACATACAAACCCACATATGCTCTCTAACACTGAATGAGGTTCCTCGCTGTATTTATTATGGGTGGATACGCTGAGCTGGAGTGATTTTAAAACTTTCCTACATGCAAATTTTTAAAAAAGCATTTTTTCAATCAGTGAAACAAAAAGCACACTCTTGTTTCAGTGCTGATTTTAAGATTGATTTTGAGCTGATATTAAATCGTAAGTAAGGTTTTTTTTTTTTCACTACTTAAAGTGTTCTCAGTGGTCTATAAATTGTTATTGTGAAGTTTTTAGCCAAAATCATGCTACCTGTGTCATTTTCAAGGGCTTTTCTTCTGCATAACTCCAGTAGATCATCAGCAATTCTCCTCTGGTCGTCTGCACACTCGTCTTCACGTTAGCTTGTAGCCTAACATTGCCGCTGTAGTAGAAGAAGCAGGTAACATAGCAGCTATTCAGCTCTCGGACACTAATGTCTTTAGGGACACGATGAAAGTTAGTATCAAAATTAGCTTTCCTACGAGCGTTGCAATCTGCTAACGCACACAATTGTTCCGTGATTGTCCTCTGTATTTCTCTAATCTAATTAGATTAGACTTAATCTAAGTCTAATCGAAAGGATCGCGCCTAACAGGCTGATGTAGACCATAAATTCACAGAAAAGGGTTTTTGAATTGTGAGTTCAGAGCAACAAAAAGGCAATAAAGCTGTCAGTTTTCTGCTTTGAGTTGACAAAAATACATTTTTCTTTCTTTATTTTGCTCTTTAACCTAAAAATTCTGCTAAAAAAAATAACCAATCTTGAAAAATAAATGGAACATGTTTGAGTAAAATGTTTTGTTTTTTTTTTTATGAAAACTGAAGCTCTGTATTTTAAAAGAAACGCTTAAAAAGTCAAATTTCACTCAAAATACCAAATTATAATAAATAAACTATGTATAAGTATGGTTCCTGGGGATTTTGGAACCAGCCTCAAGTGGACACTTGAGGAACTGCATTTTTTAACACTGTGCATTGACTTTGTATTGTAAAAAAAAAGGAGTTGCAGCTTTACACAGACACACTCAGATGTGAAACTTCAGCCTTTTTCTCCCTCTGAAAGTGTTTTTGGATTTTGGCACAACAACTCCTTGCTTAGCTTCTAACTTCATGAAACTGTCTCATTTACATTGAAAATAGGTTGGTGTAAAAAAAAAAAAACTTTGAAGAGGTTTTTGAATTTTAATGCCAGCACCATCCTTCCCTCGTGAAAATATTCCACCAAAACAAACCGACTGGAAGATTGTAATTGGATTCTAGACTTACTAACAACCTGGAGCATTTCTCCCTTAATGCAGAGTTATTTTGGGTTCAACCAGACAAGTTTTCAGCACAGTTTAGAGATCTGGATCTGGTTTGTGGCTCAGAGCTTTTTATACCCATCGTGCAGTCTGATTCTGCCGGTCCAACGTACTAACACTTCTTGAAGTCTATTTAGAGTAACAGATCTTTCTACTGTTTACTTTGACAGTAAATGTTTCCCACTGATGTGCACAGGGAGGACTCCTGTGCTGGAAAACGTTACTATGGCAACTATGAACTGCTAAAAGTCTCGGGCTGTGCCGCTGTGTGCCGTTGCAGAGTTGTACTGTGTTGGTTTCTTTCTCAGGTGCTCCTTACTCTTAAGTCCCATTCATTTTTCTCATTGATAACGTTTCGTGACTCGAGGATGAAGCCTTTCCTGTTTGGCTCTGAACCGTCAATGAATCACCGCCGAAGAAGCTAAAGAACTACATTAGAAAATATTTTGGCTCTTTGGTAGAAAGTCAAAGGTACAAGCTTGTTTACTTTGGATGTCAGGGGAGAAGTGAATCACAACTCTGAAGTTCTCCTTTATCAGATCACAGAGCCTGGAAATCCTGAAATGTGCTCAGCTGTGAGAAAAAGCTCAGATTAAGCTGCTGATAAAATGTTTATCTTCAATCTTTGACTCTGTGTTCTGGATTAGTTTAGTGACTGCCATCACAGTTTAGAACAAAATATGGCAGCACAAAGTGTTTTAATTTAATCACAGCTCTGACTTGTTGGTTCACCAGCCCCAGGATGGGAACTTTAAAAGGAACAAAAACTCACCTTCTTCTTCTACCCCACCTTTTACATAAATCCAGTGAACCCCCAGACTAGTAAGGAATTTTTGGGGTGTTTGTTAGAGCACCCCTGGAGTAGTAGCCACACACTCAGCCTATATAAAAAGTTGATTTATTGCAATAGTGCGACTGAAACTGGACTTTTAGAGTGCATGTAAAGACGTTAGTCAGACTTCTCATCATTCTGCACATGCTCCAGTGTTCACATGCCAGGCTCAAAGCTGGTGGCTGAACAGAGTGGACGCGTTGCTAGGAAGCAGGAACCTCAACAGACAAAGAGGAATGTAAAAAGGACAAAACTTTCCAAAGAAACGGCACAGATCTGGAAAAGTGACGCCCAGTTAGCTGACATGTTTTGCCGACTGGGTGATGATAGTGACGAGCTGGAAGGGGGCATGTCTCCTCATGTTGTTGCAGAGTTTCTTGTGCATGTAAACTGGAAGAAGGACAGTAGGCCAGTTAAGTTCAGTTTACTTAACCCTTTAATGCCTGAAATCACGATTTATGGCCAGAGAATTCAATTTTTTTGGGAGCCGAAATGTTTATTTCACTTACTACTGAAAACCAAAAAAAATTATTGGTCATTACGTTAAAGTTGGTATAACTAGAGAAGCAAGCAGTCGGCAACATTCATCTCTCGAAGGGGTGTCTAACTTGGTGTTACGGTGTGTTTGACCATAACTTGATTTTACATTGCAATATCCCTCTAACATGAATAGATCAGGGTTGACAAAGTTAACAAATCAATACACAATCTTATCACTATGCATCCTGTAAAAAAAAAGGTGTATCTAAATAGAAAAGTCATGTTGAAAAAAGATCTTTATTTTGATGATTTACTTCCACATCAAAGCTCAAACCACATTAAGTTATTGAGAAATGTAGTTCTTATCTAGAAAAACATCACCAATATCATCCAAAAGGATCACCAGAATCTACGTGTAAAATCGCTTATAGTGCCTTTAAGTTATAGTGAAAATATCACCCTGAGATAGGGAGTCTCAGGTTTATCAACAACACTGAAAATTGCTGATCTATTACAGTCAAAACCAAGTCCTCAGGATCAGAATCAGCCTGCTAAACCCTCTGTTTCATTCTGTGTAAAATGTCTCAAATAATAAGAGTTTTTTTATCAGAAACAAGTTAATTTCCCGGAGACTGTCAGCAAAGCAAAACAAGTTGACTTAAATTTCGGAGTCAGCTTGATAAGCCTGAAAACCAGATAAAAACATGTGCTCTGCTTATCATCGGTGTCCGTGTGCTTGTTCGGTTTGCCTCCAGAAAGTGCTGTCAGAGGGCTTAATGGTATGAGAGGTCCTTTCTTAGAGTGCAGACCCCATCTACACACACACACACACACACACACACACACACACACACACAGAGCGAGCCACTCATACGGATGCAGAAGGCACAAAGGCACAGGATCAATTACTGATCAGACGATAGGAGCTTCTTCTTTTGGCTTTCTTTAGAAGTCAACCTCTGCAGTTCTCTCTTAATTGGCCCCTAATCTCTTCCTCTCTGTACTCTCTTTCTTCCTCCTCTCTTCCTCTGGCTTTATTCTGTCCGTCTGAATATCTGTCCTGTTTCTGTCTTACTGTGTCTCCCTGACCCTCATCTGCCCCACTTCCCCCCCTGCGTCTCCTGACACTGCTCCTAATTACAAAACACACAGGGGCCATTAGCGTGGACCTCCAGCCGACGCCTGTCCCTCTATCCATTCATCCCCGCCCTTCTGTCACTATCTCTCCATCTCTGCCCTCCTTCCTTCTCTCTTGTTGGTCAAAAGTGGCTTTGTGTGGGACCCGTCGGGTGAACAAAGGCAGCGGGCTGCAGCGGTGCTCTGAAAGGTCACAGCAATGTACGGCCCTGGGCGCTGCCGCCGGGGTCAGGCCTGTCTCAATGGGTACGCACTTAACGCTCACACAGCCAAAAGCATCAGGGCGCTCTGAAGGAAATGCATGTTGTCTTGGTGCCGCTCAAAGGAGAGGACCACTCGATGTAACACTCGAGAGCTTTTCTTACTGCGCTGGAACATCAGAAACATCGACGGCTTTTCTGCAGAGCTCGAAAATGAACAGCTTTGAGTGTCACTTCTCGGAGAGTTGATTTGTAAGCATATAAAAGAGTCAACTGGAAATATTGAATTAACTGAATGAGTCTTCTGTTGTTTTCCAAAGTACAGTTTCAAAGATGCTGTCTACCATATCAGAAAACTCTCCACAGACAAATCCGGCGAATATTGAGTGTTTTACTAGAGTGGCATCTTAATGTTTTCTGCAGCCCGCTGTCTTAGAGAGCAGCATAGAGCTTTGGATTAAAAATATTAGACAGGGGTGAGTATGTAATTAGGGCTGGGCGACAAACTGAAAATTTTGTGTCAAATAAATAAATAAATAAATAAAGGTTGGTTTTGGATGTGTGTAGGTAGGCTATGGTCTCATGTCCCTTTAACCCTTGAACTCTATCTATTCAGCATTTCCTTTGACATCTTTGAAGGCATATTTGTTTCCCTGATCCAAAACCTGTTCGGGTGATTTTCAACCGGCAAAAGTTATAGAGGGTAAAGTAGGTTTGGGTGGGTTTGATAGCTGCATGTAGGCGAATAAGGTCAGTAAC